TTCGACAGTGGAAGAACTCCCTCAGAGAGTGGTGGAGTCTCCTTCTTTGGAAGTCTCTAAAGAGAGTCCGGATGGCCATATGTTGGAGTGCTTTGATTGTGAATTCCTGCATGACAAGGGGTTGGACTGGATGGCCCTTGTGGTCTCTTCCAACTCTATGATTCTGTGAACCCAAGACATACCTCTCTGCATTTCTTAATGCTGATGCTCTGTGCCTTTTCTTTTTTCTTTCTTTTTTTTTTTTTTTTTACTTAGGACATAGAGTCTTTGATGTCAGAAGGGAATAAATCTCGGACAGTCGCCGCAACCAATATGAATGAAGAGAGCAGTCGATCCCATGCTGTCTTCAAGATCATCCTCACGCACACCTTGTATGATGTAAAATCAGGGGTAAGTTGAGTTGAACATGACCCAGGTGTGTGATGCTGCAGCAAAGAAGGCAAATAATAATTTAGCATGCATTAATAGAACCATAGTTTTCAAGACAAGGGAAGCAATGGTCCTACAATATTTTGCACTAGTCAGGCCTCGTCTGAAGTACTGTGTTCAGTTCTGGCCCCTCATTTTTGAAAGGATGTAGAGAAGTTGCAGCGGATTCAAAAAAGGGCAACAAGGATGATAAGAAGTATGCTTTTTCAAAATTTCAAGCTTATATCATTTGATCCACAATCCCACTTCAAATGGGAAGTAGGTCTTGTTGGGAAGTGGCCTGGTTGGTTTTAACCAGAGATTAGCCATTGAAATTGCCTTGGTTAGTGCTGCGGTTCTGGTTTCCTCTATTTCATCACAGTTAGCCTGTAGCCATTTGCCTCTTGGGCTGTGTCTGCACTGCAGAAATAATCCAGTTTGATACCACTTCAACTACCATGACGCAATGCTATGGAATTCAGGGAATTGTAATTCGTTGAGTCACCAGAGCTTTGCTTTTTCTTAAGGACTTCAGGATTTATTTGAGTTGATCCAAATCTTCAAATGCATCATGGTTTTAAATTGGTTATTAAAATGATTTAAACTGTTCTAACTTGATTTAAAAATGTTGTGCTTGTCAAATGTCAAGGTTGCTGAATACGTGCTTATGAATATGTCCATTTATATTGTTTCTCAGTGTTTTATAATGTTCAAATTAATTTAACTAATTTTGTTATATATGTCTTGATATAGCATGGAATATAAATATTTGCATGGATCTAAGTGTTGGGCTACAACTCTGGAGACCAGGGTTCAATTCCCAGCTCAGCCATACAACCCAGTGTCACACTCTCTCAGCCTCAGGGGAAGGCAATGGCAAACGTCCTCTGAACAAAACCTGCCAAGAAAACCCCATAGGTTCATCTTACGATTGCCATAAGTCGGAAATGACTTGATAGCACCCAACAACAAATAAATATTTAAGAGCTAGCATGGTGTAGTGGTTTGGACTGTGACTCCAGAGATCAGGGTTCGATTCCCCACTCGACTATGGAAACCCATTGAGTGGCTTTGGACAAGTCACACACTCTCAGCCCCAGAAAACCCCACGATAGATTCACCGTAGAGTCACCATACAATGGAAATTACTTGAAGGCACACAGCAACAAATAAATATTTGAAGAGCCAATATGGTGTAGAGGTTACTATAAGGTGGAAATGAGTTGAAGGCACACAACTACAACAGACAGATAGATAGGTTGGTAAGTAGGTAGATAGATAGGTAGATGTTGTAGTTGTGTGCCTTCAAGTATGTGTGTGTGTGTGTGTGTGTATAGTATATATAATTTGTATATTATATATAGTATGTATAATATATATATTGTATATATATTATGTATTGTATATATATTGTATATTAAGTTGCAAATGATTTGAAGGCACACAACTACAACATACACACACACACACACACACACACACACACACCTCCATTTTTGCAGACTTTGAGTCCACAGACCAGCAAGCAGGGAGGGTTAAAATGGTGCGCATGCACATGGTGCGCACATAGAG